CCATAAATGAGATATGGCTACGAGTTCAAAGTGAACAATCAGATAAGTAGAAGGAGTCTCTGGGCCTCTCTGTAAATACAAGTTCTTGCTTTTTTTGTTCTTTGCTTTTTTCCTTTTGTCCTACAAACTTACATCATCCTAACCGAATTTATGATGTCATTACCGTATGGTAATCGCACAGGAACCATACGAGACCTCATGTTTGTAGATTCAGATCGTTAATGTCTATAGATGTTGGAAAAACGTAACGTTCGTTTAATCGTTTGATGGAAAAAACCTTCTTATACATCTTTATAAATATGGTATGGTATCGTGTATCTATACTCTAACCTTTCATATATATAACGGTTTCAGATTTGTATTACTGAAACTCTGATAACAGCAGGGCACCTTTATCATTTGACAACTTAAATCTTTCCATGGTGTTACAATTATTTTGATAAGTTTGCAAATTACGTTTTCCGTCTTCAGCATTAACTAACTAGTTAATTAAGCCTTAATATGACTATCCGTTTCATAAGTAACACTTCGTGCTAACAGTTTTAACAAGAGTGGCTTTTATAAAATGTTCTCGTTTGGTAGAGTTAACTTTACCCCATTGTTTTTTGGAATTCTCTTATCCTTTTGTCACCTACTCTATTTCGTAGGGTTAACTTTTTCCCTGGTTGTTGAAACTCTGATGTCTCCTTGTCATCTCTTCCATTTTAGTAGGGTTAACTTTTTCCCTGGTTGTTGAAACTCTGCTGTCTCCTTGTCATCTCTTCCATTTTAGTAGGGTTAATTTTATCCCCTGTATGTTGTATTTCCCGTGGTGCTTTATCACCGTCTCCATTTTGGTAATTAATTTGTTTACAATTCTATTGGCAAACGTTTCAACGACTAATTGGAAATTATGTCCCTTTGTCACTTCTTCCATTAAAGTAGGGTTAAATTTTTCCTGTTTGTTGGAATTTTCATTTTTTTTGTTACCTCCTCCGTTTTGGTAGGGTTAACTTTGCCTTGTTGGTTGCAATTACGGTTTCCTCCATGTCACGTATACAGTTTTGTGTCCAGTGCTACTAAAACTCTACATCTAACATTTCTGACTGTAATCTAACATCCTGATATAACGTGTAACCATCTTCTGACTGTAATCTAACATCCTGATATAACATCTAACATTTCTGACTGTCATCTAATATCCTGATACTTCTGACTGTCATCTAACATCAGAATATAACATCTAACCGTCCTGTGACTGTCATCTAACATTCTTCGGACTGATTTATACCAGTTGTTCCTAACCTTTTTCCAACTGAGGGCAAGGTAATTCCGATTCTCAATTTCTATGACCATTTCGTACAATATTAACCTCTTGATTAAAGTACTGTTAAATTATATTGTAAAACAATACACTTATGTAGCTATATTTTAAAACTTTTTTTTTCGACTGTTTTGTGTACCGGCAGTTGGGAACCACTGATCTGTACCACTTGTAATTTATACGATATTTGCAATGTTTTAATTTCCTTAATTTTTCATCAGCCATTTAAATTATCTAGAGTTAAAATAAAACTAGTTTCAGCTCTGAACAAACTTCGCAATGAATAATTCACGAAATAAACGTAGTGTTACGACGGCGGAGGTCACGTGACGCTAGTAACACGTCATCTTCTCGAACGTTCACGTCCCATCCTGAAATCTCGAGAGCCTACTAGGTATGCAGTAGTCTTATATATATAAACCGTTAAGAACTGACGGCAAGGTAATGTAATGTGTAATTGAACTGCGGACAGAGCATTGTTGAGCACGTGAGATGTTCCTTGTGAATTATAGCGTTTGTTATAGCGCGACTGTTGAAATTAAGTGTATCGCAAAGTTCTATTCAGAAAGAATAAACCAGTTTTATTTAAGAAAGGACTTGTGTCGGTAAAGTTTCTTCGGAAAGAATTTTTACGGAAAATTAATTAACGACCAGAGACGTAACAGTATGTTAGGGATCGAATTTTACTATTATGGGTATAAATAGTCAATTTATGAGTGAAAATGTAGTCACGTCCTAGAAAGGCCAGTTTAGAGCTACAATCAACGTATAAATATTGTTGTTTACCTTAACTAAAGATTCACATCCAGCAGTGTAATGAACAAGAACTGATAATTTCTTTTCGAACTCATTACTTTAACCTTAGATAGCACGTACTAACACTGGTCAGCGACACATCCAGATTGCGAGAAGCACGCGATTGTTAAATATGGTTAGGTACGAGTTTTTGTACCGGGGGAATATCGGAACTGCGGGGGGGGGGGAGGTAGTGACACGTGGAGTTAAATAACTATGTCAATGAACACAATGTTGAATCCAAAGTAAGAAATAATTATTGTCAATTATGTATAACTGAATATAGTAATTATTCTCTACACATTTGAATGTTACTTTATTAATTATATCTTCCGTTATGACAGTCAATTACAATATTTTTCATCAGCAGTACTTCACATAGCAAGTGTCGGAAACACATATTTACCTGACGTTTTAAGTGAAACTCGTGGTGGACATAGCATAGATAGTCCATTGTGTAGCTATTTGCTGTATTACAAACAACATAAAAAAAAACATTAACTTTATATTACGTACTATATTAGTTCAAGGAGTTTACACAAAAACTTTATGAACATATTCAAAATGTACAAAAATCCAATATTTAAATTCATCAATTAAAGGAACAAACATTTAGTTATACATTTGAAATGTATTCGAAAAATATTACTTAACTTGACGGAGTAAACTTATTACTTAAAATACAATTTAGAATTCAAATATTGATAAGTAATGTTAGAAAGTTTATGTTGAAACTCGGTGTAAGTGAAAAGTTGTGCGTTTTCTTTATGAACTTCGATGGTTTAGCCAGTCTTAAATTATTTATTCCGAGTAATACTTATAAATGTGTACATCTACCAAATACTTCGCAACAAAAACACAAATTATGTTTAAACGCGTGAGTCATCAACTTGAAAAGTGAAATTATGAAGACTGATTTTTTTTTTAAGGAAAGCATTGGTATAGTTATAATCAAAGGGTAGTAATTTGATGAAATTGCTGTTTAAAAAAAGCACCCGATTGCTTCCTTTAAGCATAATGCCTAACAAGTACTCAATGAAAATAGACTTCATCATGTAGTAATAAAGGTGTTACGTCACGTAGTATTAAAGGTGTTATATCACGTAGTATTAAAGGTGTTATGTCACGTAGTATTAAGGGTGTTACGGGTTGGTTGTTATGTTTCGTAGAGTTGGATTTTTTTTGTTAAGGAAGATTGAGCGTATAGACGAACGGACAGTAATAACCGCTCCTACTGTCTCTATTTCCAGAGCTGAAACTGTAGAAGCAAACTGGAGTTTCTCCACACTAGTTTCTGACATTATCTGGCTTTCCATTGATGGGGATTAAAATCTCAAGTCTACACTTCTTTCTTCACTCTCCACATTTAAAATAGCACAAGCTATGAGTGGCACGTGTGGTATTTGTATTTTTCCTCCTCCTTGCTTTTTTTATTTCATATTCTACAACTGCTAAATCCATATTTAGCATATCACACACAGCATCCTTACCACCACCCGCTAGAAACTACAGAATTCTTTGAAACATTTATGTTTTATATTACCATTTCCTCATGAGGAAAGAGTCATCACTGTGTTGAGTTGATGTTATATTCAAACTCCATAAATAACTCAAAGAAAATGTGCTTGGAAATACAAATAAGACTTTACCACAAAAATGCATAACGCTTTGTTTATTTACAAAGAGACTGCATATAAACGACATAAATTGATCCAATCGCTCAGTCTAGTGACCTTTTATTTTTTCCCGTATCTTTTCCTCAAGAGAAAAGACTTTCAAATGTAGCAGACTATTGTAGTAACTCGGGGTTGATTTTTGGCAGTTGAAAGACAATCGTTTGACTTGAGTAAGCCTAATTTATACTCGAACTGTGGTGGAAGTATAACGAACGAAGCTTATCTGGTTTAGGTTTTCACAGCTGACTGCTCTTTAATACCGTTGGGACAGGATTTGGAAGATGAATTTGCTATTGGACTGACGTTGGTTCAGTGTTGTTTTGTTTCGAAATGGTCTTTTGGAAGTCTTTTAATTGCTTATTACACAGTTTGCATATATTTGCACCTATACCCATGACTCGGAGTTTGAAATAAATTTGTTCGTTGGATGTAACATTATGCATCTTTATTTAAATGTTGTTTCGTGCTAAAATTTGAACTAATTCACGGAATATATGAATGTTTCTGTAATCTACAATTTCATTTGCTAGAAATATCCCAACCTAGTTGACGTTAAGAGATATTTATCACACAAATTAGAATATTCACTTCATCAGAATAAATGCTACTGTTTTTATTTTTTTATTTTCTGCCTTTTATCGTTCATGCTGTATAATCGAAGATAAATGAATGCGTTTTTCACATGAAATTTTCGTAATATAGTGCGAATATATATATAATACTTGAAATTATTGTATCCCTGAAGTAAAATATCCCGATGTGCAGCAATATAAATATACTTGGACTGGTCACCTTTAACAATGTATAGGGAGTGTTTTAGACCTGTGGTAAAGCTCTGGATTTCAGAATTGGTGAGCTGGGTTCAAATCCGTACAATACCGCAAAATATTTCCTGCTTTTTAAGCTATGGGTGCATTATAAGAGTAACAGTCAGTCGCTTATCGTTCTTGATAGAGTGCTGCAACATACAAAAAAGAAACTTATTGCATGTAATATTAAAGTTTATTTTGTTAGCACAGAAAAGTTGCACAATAAGTTAACTGTGAGTCAACATCGAACGTTTCGTTATAAGCCATCAAACTTATTGTTGAGCCACCAGGGGGTTAATATGAAAGAAAATAAAGACAGAGAAGTGAGAATATTTGTAACCTATGTTATCAAATTGTAAGAAGAAGTATTAAATTAATTTCCAAGTTTTATATATATGTATTATTTTTGTTTTTCAGGGACAAAGTCTTCCGCATGAACTTAAGCAATATTAACAGAACTCGTTGTGAGGTAAGTAACTGACAAGTCATATAGCTGACATTTTTAAAGTTTGAAGGTTAAAGACTACTGCCAGGAATCACCGCTTGTGTGTGTACTTCATCTAATACGATTGGTCTTGAGTCTCGTTATTTTTTAAAGTCGGGATCCACGTTATGCAGATAGTGAACGTGATGCTCTAGGTTATGTAAAATATATCATTTGTGTGTTATATGTTCGATATGTATAGTTCAGTTTCATTGGTGTGTTGTGGAACACATACATTGTTCCAAAATTTTTAAACTTTGTACATTAGAAGATATTCTAAGAATTTGTCTGTTAAACGAACCCTCAAGTTTATGTATATTTTTTTTTACTTTGGTCAGCTAAATTTCGCTGAGAACCACGTGGAGTTTATCCTCGTTTTGGGATTACTAATTTCGTGACTGGATTTCTTATTCTTTAATTCGCTGTTTTTATTTCATGTCGGCGATTCCTGATTTTGAAAATCTGACATTTTTCACAATCGAAAGGAATGGCATCGAAGTTCACTTTATATGCTAATCGATATATTTTAATAAAGCTTCATAGTAAATAAGAAACCGCGGTTAAGCGCTGGTTCCGTGTGCCTTTAAGACAACGAAAGGATTTAGCTTGAAAGTGATAAGCATGTTTTACACTTTTAAAAGCATAGGTTTAGTTTGCACATCGAAATAAAAGTAAACTAGCTTTACGGAATCGCGAAATAAAAGTAAACTAGCTTTACGGAATCGCAGAATAAAAGTAAACTAACTTTATGAAATCGCGAAATAAAAGTAAACTAACTTTTTGAAATCGCGAAATAAAAGTAAACTAACTTTATGGAATCGCGAAATAAAAGTAAACTAACTTTATGGAATCGCGAAATAAAAGTAAAGTAGCTTTATGGAATCGCGAAATAAAAGTAAACTTGCTTTACGGAATCGCAAAATAAAAGTAAACTAACTTTATGAAATCGCGAAATAAAAGTAAACTTGCTTTACGGAATCGCGAAATAAAAGTAAACTAACTTTATGAAATCGCGAAATAAAAGTAAACTAGCTTTACGGAATCGCGAAATAAAAGTAAACTAGCTTTACGGAATCGCGAAATAAAAGTAAACTAGCTTTACGGAATCGCGTAGAATGTTTATGAAGATTATTTCTTCTAGGAGGTATTTTTACTTTTGACTACAAACTATTTTTATGTGCTAACTTATTATTATTATCATTAGAGTTCGGTGGATAAAACTTGTCATGTAAGAAATTAAAAAAGCAAAGTGACCAATTTAGAATATTTTAAAGTTTCATACCCATAAATTTATTTTGTGACAACAAATCTTAAAGACAAGGAATTTAACTTGAAAAATGGGGCTTTAACTGTTAATGACAGTTAAAGCTTGATTTTAGCCCTCAGACAAAACTTCTATTTATCACTTAAATGGAGTCTGTCATTAAAAACTATTCGTCAGTAATATTTGATAAATATGTAAATTATATTATTTATTAATATCAAACTCAACAGACACTATAATTGTATTTTTTTAGAAGTTAAAAAATAGTTTAGTTAAAAAAAACTAATAATTTAGTTGTATAACGACAGCTTTATTTTTCATTACATATAATTTAGTATTTTATATTTAAAGAAAAGATTAACAGGGGTTTTAGAATTTAACACAATGAAACAAATGACCCCGTTATATCAGGATGTTAGATTACAGTAAGAAGATGGTTACACGTTATATCAGGATGTTAGATAACACTAAGAAGATGGTTACGCGTTATATCAGGATGTTAGATAACACTAAGAAGATGGTTACGCGTTATATCAGAATGGTAGATGACAGTAAGAAGATGTTTA